ACTTCTACCATGGAGCAAAGTCAATTGACTCTGTGCCAAATGTACTAGCTTTCTACGTATAAGGGTATAGGCCCTCAGTTCCCAAACTGTGGGTCACAACATCAGCTGATGGTGTCAGGGGGTGGTGGGGCTGTGACTTGGGAGTAAGGCACCATGTTGAGGAAATGAGGCCACGCTGAGGAAATGGGGCCATAAATGGAGTCATGCTGAGGAAAAGTTTGGGAAGCACTAGTATAGGCACAACACATTAAAAAGGGAGCCATTCCACAGCAAAGAAAAGTTTGATTAACAACCTTCTTGTTCTGAAGGATTCAGAAGCTGAAAACTGAGTGGTGGGAAGGAGGTTCCTTTTGTTTGTCTTTTTCTAATGTGTAGCAAAGTAGTTTAAAACAATTCAAGATGAATTGTGTATGCTGGTTCACATGGCATGGATAAACAAGTCTTCCACATCACCAGCAAGGACATTTAGATGACTATTCTGTAGTGCCTAGTGTTGGGTGAGTTAGTCCCAGAGAGTAGAAAGAAGTACTTACACTTCCACCCTCATGTTGTTCCTATATAGGCTTCTTCTGGCAACAAGGTAGCAAAACTGACCAAAATATTCCAGGTTGGACCTTGATCTGTACAGGCTGCATCTACATGAGAGGTGGACTGAGGAAGTAACTTGCTACAAGTATGTACAAGTACTAAATGGCTGTGCAGTAACAACTGCGCAGTCAGTGTCTTGTGTAGATGTGGCCACAAAGAAGGACTATCATTTTCCTTTCCCAATACCCTAATATTTCAGCATATATAGCCCAAAATGGTACTGGCCTGTTATAGAGTACTGATTATGATTTACATTTACATGGTCTTGGAATAAGTCATCTGGGTAACTGCCCTTTTCTTAATGTTCCATTACAAGAATTTTGATCCTCTTGTCTTCCCTTCTTTTTAGTTCCTGGGTAGAGGAAGGTAAAGTACCCTTGAAGATTTAGTTTCAACTAGAACTTAACAGTACAAGCGACCTGTCATCTTTTGGCCTGCAGCCAACCCCTCAAGTACAGCCCACCAAGTTCAGTTCACAAAACAAATCTGCTAGCATTTGAAAAGATCCACTTCATAGCATTTAAACTATACCTCCCTGAAGATACACAAAATGGCTACCACAGAAAAATATAACAAACACTTTATAAATGTGAAGAGTAGAAGGTAGTGTAGGAGCTCTATTTAATATTTAAATAATTGCCATTCATTAAGCCAGAAGATTTGCATTTTAATTATTCAGAGAAGTTTATAAACAACATTTTAGCTGACACTTCTGAATTGCTGTTGAGCAATTAATGAATACTATCTTCACCCAACTGCTTCACATTGATATCAGTCAAATCTAAATTTTAAGGAATGGTGAGAATTCACATTACGACTTTGACTGGCTTCAGTCTGATGTCCTAGGCCTGATTCTGATCTCCTAGCAATGTAAATCAGAAGTGGATCTCTCAAAATCAAGAGTTAGAATATTTAAAATCATTTAAGTGAAATCACAGGCATCTACCATGGGATAAATGATCTGCTAGTGTAGATCAGGCCACCCAGCCACAGGAGAATGAATGAAATACCAAGGGGCAAAAGACCAGCATCCTTGGAGAAATGTGAGCTGGACAAAACTACTATAAGATGGATAAACAACTGGGTCAATATCCACAAGCAAAGGGGAGTTATTAACAGATCTATGTCAGAATGGCAGGAAGATATGGTTAGTCCCACAAGGGTCAATCCTAGGCTCAGTGCTAAGAATTTTTGTTTTGAAATGAAGAACTTCAATGTTTTTAATGCTATTTTTTCAGTATCTGTGTTTTATGGAAGTTTACAAAATTTTAACTTTTTCCCTATTTTTGACTACAGGAAGTTTTAAAATGTCAGAATTTCTTGTAGAATGGAAATTCTGGGTTTTGACCAAATCTAATTTCAGCAAAGATGTCTCTGTAAACTGTTCCCATAGCCCTGTTATGGAGTTATGCAAGTTACAGCTGCACAACCTCACAACAGAAGGTGCACTGAAAATGAGCTGTCCTCCTTGAAATGGCAGTGAGGAATGCCATGGAGATGCCTTAGTAGTACTAAGGCTTCTTGTCTTTCCCTAACAAGATAACAGCCATAGCTATTCAGATATGACTGCTTGGTTCCCCACAGTCAAGTTAAGTTGAGATATTGCTCTTACAGTTGTAAGAAATGTAGGCTCTTTCACTTAAGGTTAATGTTGGCAAAACCTATGTAAGAATATAATTAAATAGATTTAAAGCATTTAAAAGGAAATTAGACAATGAATAAATTTATGGTAGCTCTGGGATCTAAAGCTCCAGAGAAAGGAGTTCTTTGCTACCACCTATTGATGAATTGGGGGAAGAGATGGAAAGAGCAGACAGCATTTCCAGAGGTGACATATATTTTGTTTGTAGTAGTCAAAATTCATGTAAGTTGCATCATCAGGGAAACAGAATGTTACAATCCTGAGTGACTAGAAAGGAACAAGCTTAGGGGAGCCTAGAAAGCAAGATTTGTTTGTGTCTAGAAACAGCAACGCAATAAGATACACTGGTGCAAAGATAGTGTAGCCAGGGCTGGGGCCAGGTCCTTGCTACACCACTGTGTAGCCGGCTGCACCTGTCTGGGAAACTTACCCAGATAGGTCCAGACAAGCAGTGTGTCCCAAGTGCACTGGAGGAAAAGATCCAGGAAAAGCCGGGGAAACAGGCAGATACCTGGATCAGAAGAACACATGCCCTGGAGAGTCAGCTCTGATTGGCCCAGACAGAAGACCAGGCAGTATAAAAGGAGACACCAATAAAGGCGCAGTGTTTGGTAACTCTAGGAGCAGGGATTGGGCAGCTTGACCAGGGAAGAAGACCGGCAGAGCTGAGAACCCCACTGGCCAAACCTAATGGAGCATCATGACCCAGGTGAGTCCCAAGCCAGAAGCATCCCTGCATGCCTAGACAGCTAAGTAGCAGTGGATGGCAGAGTAATGCAGGGTCATCCCAGCAAGTCTCTAGAGCCAAGGTCAAGTAGGGAAGACCCTGTGGAATGGTCCACAGAAGCTGACTGGGAGGAGGGAAAGAACAGACCTACTGACAAAGTGAGACCTTGAGAGGAACTGAGGCAGCCAGGGCGAAGAAGAGATTTGCATGGCACCCTGAGGAGAAGAAAAGCAGGGCTTAAACTGGCTGGTGATAGCACAATGGATCCCTCAAACTGTAAAAGAAGCAAGAGTGTTCAAACCTTTTTTTGTATATATTCTGGAATTAAAAACAATGGAGACTGGGAGTAAGAAATCTTCCTTTTGATTTATTGTCCCTAGGTAAATGAGGATCAGCTGGGAAGAAGGATCCCCTTTGAGTCTGATTTATGGTTAACAGGCCCTACATCTGGGTCTTTAAAAGAGATATAGTCTACAAGGCCTAAAGTAAGGCTGGAAGAGACCAGAAACCATGAACAAAGTAATTCAGAAATAATCACAGAGACAACAACACAAAGACAGAGAGAGAGAAAAGAAGATTGGTGGAGCATAACCCGATTAGTTCAGCCAAGGAGGGGCTCAACCAGTGGAAACTGATGCCAGAGAACCACGGAGTAAATAAAAGGGCTGTACAAAATTTTGACAGGTGTTTCGTTTTGAAGCTGTTTTGACATGTTTCAAACTCAAAACAGCGAAATTGAAATGAAACAGAAGGCTTCAAAACAAATTCAAAACAAAACAAGGGCACTCAAATTGTTTTGAAAGCTGGGTTTGTTGCAGCTAAACAGAAACTAAGGAGAGGGAGAGGGAAGAGGGGGGAAGGACTGCTCTGATATTGACATCTAGTTCCCTGTTTGCTTCCCCCAGCTCTCTGATCGCTTCCCCCAGCTCTCTGATCGCTTCCCCAGCTCTTCCTGGGGGGCACGGGCCCCTGATCTGCATGTGGAGTTTCAGCATGCTGCTGCTGCCAACTGCAACCAGCGTCAGCACCAGGCATCCTGTCGCTTGGCATGGACTGTGCCCAGCTGGCGGCAACATCCTGCTGTCATCCCGTGTCCAGATCTGGGGGTCTGCACCTCCCGGAAGAAGTCTGGCACAGCCCCGCAGCCCTCCCAGGAGGTGAGGGCCCCCAGATCTGTGTGCAGGATGACAGCAGGCTGCCATAGCTGACTGGGGCCAGCGCCAGCACTGGGTCCTTTCTGGTGCTCAATGCGGGCTGTGCCAGGCAGACTTGGGGGCTGGCACTGGCCCCAGCTGGCAGCAGCAGCATGCTCTCATCCCACATGCAGATCCAAGGACCTGTGCCCTCTGGGAAGAGTCCAGCACAGCCCTGCAGCCATCCTGGGGTGGGGTGCGGGCCCCTAGATCTGCACACGGGATGACAGCAGGCTGTCATCGGCCGGCAAGTGCTGTGAGTTTTGCTTGTCAGCAGTTTGAGGTGCTGTGTCCAGAAATCCCTGCACCTATCTCCTTGAATCTTGGCAGGCTTCCTGCCCTCAGAAGGGGTTACCATCCCTGCAATTTTCATCCTAATCAGGCAAGAAATGACAAAGTTATAGGCATTTTCACAGTTTCCCATTACAGCCCATGGGCAAAATATCAAAACATGTCAAAACAGCTAAACAGTTTTGACAAAACAAAACAGAACAGTGCTTCAAAATAAAACAAAATGATGAAATAAAAAACTGTCCCTTTGAAACAGCAAAATGGAAGTCAAAACAAAATGGTGCTGTTTCACACAGCTGTAGTAAATAACAGAGCTGAGTTTGAGCAGAGACTCTACTAGGTATCTCAGACTCCAGACCAATGGAGAATAGTGACCAACCACCTAAGAAGAAAGGGGAAGGGTGAAGGGGAGGTGGAGCCCTACGGAATCCCTGCCAGACTGACCTCTGCTCAGAGAATCATCCATGCTCCCAAATATAATAATACCATTAAGGCTTGGCAGCAGAGTACAGAGGATGAGCCAGGGGTCAAGTAATTCTAATGTAGCCAGGGGTCAGGTAATTCTAATGCAGCAGGGTGGGCAGGAAGACACACACTCTTACAGATGGTATCATGGCTAGAAGTACCAGCAAGTGGTCTCTTTGTGGAAGTGTGCCCCTTTTGGCTTAACCCAAATCTGTCATAGGTTTTAGGGCTTTGCTAACTACTGACAACAAACTATGAATAGAGGGCAAAAGGAATCCAGGGAATTGAAGTGTTTGAAGGGACAGTGGTCCACTAGATGGTCACACTAGCAGGTAAGGAAATTGAAGTAAAGGAATTTTACCCAGGATACTTTGGGGGGGAGGGGACAGATCAGTGTTATACTATTTGCATAAACATGTAGGTGACCTCTTCTTGCATTTTTCCAAATAAATGTTGTGTACCTTTGTCTTTAATAGTTATAATTGTCGTAATTGTTTTGTACAGATTCATGGCTCCTGAAAGGGGAAGCATTGCCTCTTATAGTCTCCTAGGGAAGATGTTTAGATTCTCCAGTTTTCTGGTTGAGGGATGAAAGTTATAACATTTATTAATTTTAAGGAGGAACTCCTTGATATCTGAATCCAGCCCTTGCAGCTGCTGAAAACACCCAGCTGAAGGGTTTATACTTATAGCATGATAAACCAAACCTAATCTTTTGCCAAATAGAGAGACTCTAATTCACTTTGTAGTTTCAGTGGTAGTGTGGAAAAAGATTAAGTGGGCACACTCTACTTTTATGAATGACAAATCAATCCTTTAAAATGAGTCTTGGTTAAACTAACTAAACTTCAGTTATGTTATTTTAATCATCACATTGTTTCTGTTAAGTCAATTAATTACAGTTTGTTAGATTTAATTTCAATGCATTGTTAGTCTAACTAAGACATTATTAATACTCTAGATTCTTTCTGCTTTCACTTGGCCTGTTAAATTATATAGTTCTGTACACATCATAAATCATGCAGCACAATTAATCTGCTCTACCTGCTTTCAACCTGTTGATTTGGTTGGGTAAACCTTAATAGCATTTTATAATTATGATAAATCTTGGCAAACTCTGACGTCTCATTCAAAATAAACAAAACAGTCTATGAGCAAGCCTTTCTTTGTGACATGTAACAGGCAAAATATCAGATGCATAAAGGCTTAAACATTATATCAATAAATGTTATAGAAAACCCTGAAAAAGAAAATGAAAAATGACAATAGGAAATATATTGCATTACAATAATACTAATGCAGACTTTTTTTAAATTTACCTCCAGAAACCAACTGGATTTTTTTGAGCATGTCATAATTTTTAATGTATTATCTTCAGAGCAGCCTAGAGAGATAGGACAGTGCTTTTTTCCCTATTTTATAGATGGCAAACTGATGCACAGAAAGGCATGGGAGGAAGCATAACCTGTGAATGGAAGCTCATGAAATCCAAGATCAATCCCCTAGTTTGCCACTCATTTTCTGTATGACCTTGGGCAAAGTACTCAATTTTTCCACTTTCATATCTTTAAAAAAGGAAAAATCTCACAGGGGTACTGTAAAAAGAGATAACAGATGTGGTCATTGATGTAAGTACTGAGATAGACTAAAAAGATTGCCCAGAGCCCCACAAGGAGTATCTGGACCTGACCACATGTTTCCTGTGTCCTAGGGTAGGACACAGGAAACATTATTAATTTACATTATCAAGAAGAGTGGTATGGATGATTGGAAATTTGGGAAGAAAAGGAACATGCCAGATGAGATTGGGACCCACTGTACTAAACAATAAAAAATTGTGCAAGACGACTCCCTGAGAGAGCTTGTAATCTAAATAGACAAAGAGGAGGAGAAAGAAATAATTTCAGAGGCACTTAATCCAGCTAGATGAGTGAGTAACAGAATGACAGATGAAACTTAATGTTGACAAATCCATACTGGATGGGATAGGTTGAACTACTTGGGCCCCTTACTGAATTCCAAGTTAATACACGGGGAAAAAAATCCTTTGCAAGGGCCCCTGCTCAAAGTGTGGCAGTAGCTAAAAAAGCAAATAGAATGTTAGAAATGAGATGGGGAATAATCATAATGCTACTTATATAAAGTGAATAGTTTTCCTTTATCTGGAATATTGCAAAAAGTACCGATCACCTGCCCCAACAAGAATACTGAAGAAGTGTACTGGGTTAGGAAATGGGGCATTATACACTGGGGGTAATAAACTTATGTTCCATAGGCTGGATTTGGCATGCAAACCTGCTCTATACAGTCTGCTGGGTTACTAGTGAGATAGATAAGAGTATTTGGAGGAGTAGCTAGTAGGGGACAGGACCTTCCACAGAACGTGGGGCTCTGGCCGTCAGTGGCAGGAGTGAGTGCAAGCTGGGCTGATACAGACTCACTCACCCTATCTTGCCTGCCCCACCACCACTGATGCTTGCAGTGTAAACACTGCAGCACATGACCCTCTGCTGCTCTCTGCCCTGCTGCCACTGTGGTGCTGGTCTCATGGATTTGATGTGGAGCACAGAGTTTGATACCCTTGCTCTATACTATGCAGGGATTCCCTGAAGTAGGGAGAAACCTCCCATGGACGGTTCAGCCATCTTTATAGCTGATTTGCATCCGCAAAGTGGCACAAAGCAGTTTTTCACATAGAATCTGTATGTAAAAGACTAGGAGGAAAGACAACAGTATGCAAACATAGCATGTCCTAGCTCAGTGATTCTCAACTAAAGTGCTATGGCACCCTGGTCTGCCTTTGAAATCTTTTCAAGGGTGCTGCAGGGTGCCATGTTAGTCCTGTTAGGTATGTAAACATGGTTCACAAGATCAACCCAAAGATTTCCAACTGGAATCCAGTGTCAAAACCATTCTGACCAGTTGTGGTCTTTCTGAGTTCTCTGCATCAGAAAAACTGCTGTAGTAAAAAAAAATGTGTGCAAACTATGAGCTGGAATTTTTTGACAGGTGCTTTATTCTAAAAAGGTTGAAAACCATTGACTTGGCTGCAAGAAGAAGTTATACAAGGATGGCAAGTTGTGCCTAGACTAACAACAGGCTGTAAGGCTCCATGAGGAGCCTAACATTGTCCAGAGAAATCCAGTGAGGCATAGAAGCAAGGCCTAAATGATACTCCAGACAGAAATCCCTTTGGACTATAAATCAAGCAAGGTATAGACAGTTATGATCCAGTGGTGGCCTATAAAAAAGGGAAAAAAACACTTAATTTTGCTTCCTTATAGATGGAGGAATACCATATTGTTGGAAATACCATAAATACCACAAACTGAGGTTATCAAATTGCAAATACATATTAGCTGTCTAAAGCATTTGGCAAGATGTCTTTGGTTACTCTTCTACAGCTCATGGGAGAGATCTTGAGTTACCAGCTCAACTGCAGGCTTGTGTGCTATAGCAAGACTAATCTTTATGATGGGTAACATACTGGTGACCTTTGAACCCATCCTGCATTATTTGTTAAGATTGTATTTGCTAATTGGTGTATTAATGGAAAACAGCATTTATACAAACTGCTGCTAGTTAAGCAATTTTAAGAATGAGGGGTGGCAGGTGCAACTGTTGTGTATTTTTTCAAAGTGATCAGGACACAGACACTTGCCATGAAATACTGTTTAGTCTATCCTTCTATTGCACTTCTAGGCCAGATTTGTTGCTGATGTAGTACCATTGACGTTAATGGGCTTTTGGCCCTCTGTGTCATGTAAGAAATAGTTCAGAGATGGGAACATCACAACTGTTGGGAATATTTTGGAGTGGGTGTTTTAATTTTGACTTTCTTGTAAACCAGGGTGTTTAAGAACAATAAAATTTCTGCACTAGCTAAAAGCACATGCCTCTGAATCAATGAGTCTCTAAGGGTGCGTACACACATATTAACTTTCTGATAGTTAAGCTGACGTAACTTTTTAAATTTGACTTAACTGTCATAGTGTACACACGGATATGGAGCCGAGTTGACTTAATTGTGGGGCAAGATAATACACCTCTAAGGTGTATTATTTTGAGTTGCATCAGGTAAACTGACTTAGCTTACAAGATGGCTGCCCCCATGTCAAGGAGCTGTACGTGTTTATGCTCTGAAGTAGCTTAAGTCGACTTAGCTAAGTCGCCTTATTTTAAGTCACTTTAGTAAATGTGTATGCACCCTAATGTGCCTACGTCTGCCTGACTTCACACTAACATGGCTAGCCATCTCAGTGAAGAGTTGCATATTAAATTCTATTTCATATTAAAGTACTAAAACAGTGAGGACAGTCTCAAGATTTGGCCTACCTCCCTACCTGCAATAACTGTGTTTCTGCTGTTGCCTAAAAGTCAGCAAGAGTTGGGTCTCTCCTAGCCCTTTGTGCTTTTGAAAACACCCCCTCTGAAGTGTTAATACATAGATTAGGATATTGTATCTGTTAAGCAGAGAAGGCTTTGTCCCAGATATAATACTATTTACAGTGCCAGGCTAGCCAGGAGGTAGCCCTCATATTGAAATACCCTTGTGCCCCAGCCAGCTGAGGCAGTATCTACATGTGCTAGGGCAGTGTCTACACATGCATCAACACATTTAGAAGTACTATCCTGCTGCAGAGTAAATTAGTTTACTCCAGCCTAATAGGGGTGCACGTGTAGCTGCAAGATGTTGTGCAGCTAATTAGTCTATTGCACAGTAAATATCTTGTGTAGACACTCCCAGTATATGCACTATGCTTTCAGAAATTAATCATAGGCCAGAAATACCCCTTCCTGGGAAGAATCATGTATTCTACCTATATGCATACTGAATAAGTGTATAATTCCCTTAACTGAGTAACACTATATCTGTTCTGATTCCCCCCCAATTGCTTACGTTACAACAAATGCTGATTAACTGCATGTTAAGTACATAAACCAAATAAGTGTATAGGAGCTCTTTGGTACCAGTGTCTCCTTTGTAATGTTAATGCACTTCTTTTAACTGCATAATTAGTTAAATTAATCAACAGTCATTGATTTCAAGTTTCTAATTGACTAGGTTATATCTGTTATATGGCTATTGCCTGTGACAGAAGTCCTGAAAAAGAACAATGTAGTAAGCCTTAATGAAATGTGACAAGGTGAGTGTACGCTGTTCTGGTAGTGAATAAGCATTGCTTACACTCAGTGTGGATAAGTGCATAACCTGTTTTCAGTCCAGAGGGTACGTCCTTAAGTGGAACCCACTGTATTCTCGACCAGGGTGTCACAGCATCCTGGGGTGCCTTGAGAGCTTTTCAAGGGTGTGACAAGGTGCCACGCAATG